GTTTCTGTTCCTGGAGAGGGAAAAATGAGGGTAAGGTCAGAAAGGGGGTTTGGACATGATGTGAGCAGTACTGGGCAGCTGCAAGAACTTTCTTTGGATCCAGGCTTTCAGGATAAGCAAGGTTGATCTGTTCCTGGTTCACCAAACCTTCGTTACAGCAAACTGGATGGAAAGAGAAGAGGTGGAAGTCCAGACATACCTGACTGTGTGTTTTTCAGGTGTTCCGCTACGACTCGAACATGATCTACTCTTCTGGAAGGGAATCATACTTCAACTTGAACTCAACCTGGTACGATCCCTCGGGATCCTGGCTGGACACCCGGCGCACCCCCTTCCGCTATGGCTACAACACTTGCTGCTCAGGCTGTGACAATGAAGGAGTTGAAGGGATGAGAGGACACAACTACCGTCACTATGGCTATCGGCAGCCAGTCTGCTCCGAGAGGTGCCATGGCTATGCTGTGTCTGATTCCTGCCATGGCGGTGGCTCAACCTGCGTCAGGAGACCCACATGCAGCTATGGGTCATCAGGGGGATGCCAGAGCTACGGGAGGTCTGTCTGCTCCGAGAGATGCCATGGATCCTCAGGTTCATGCCATGGAGGTGGCTCAAGCTGCGTCAGGAGACCCACGTACAGCTATGGGTCATCGGGGGGATGCCAGAGCTATGGGAGGTCCGTCTGCTCCGAGAGATGCCATGGATCCTCAGGTTCATGCCACGGAGGTGGTTCAAGCTGCGTCAGGAGACCCACATGCACCTATGGGTCATCGGGGGGATGCCAGAGCTATGGGAGGTCCGTCTGCTCTGAGACGTGCCATGGATCAGGGTACCAAGGTGGGAAGCCATGCTACAGCAAGCCAACGCAGTGCATCACCCAGTGCCCCCCAGTGCAGACCTATCCCTCCCCAGTGCAACAAGGCTGCGTGCCCGTGGCAAAGTGCATCCCAAGCCAGCAGCAAAAGCAGGTCTGCAAAGTGCCAGCCCAGAAGACAAAATAGAGGACATGAGGAATGGGGATGAATGGGGGAACCTTCTTCCTCTTGCAACATTGCCTTGATGGGTGGCATGTCCTGTCTTGTTCATGCATCTCACTCTTCCTGTCATTTTGCTTGTAACATGCTTTGAAAGTGTAATTCACTGTCCCTGTGAAACATTAAGTGCTGTTCCCCTCCTTATTTCACAGCAGATGTGGAGGCAATAAAAGCTATGGTTCATAACCCCCTTGCATCAGTGTTTTCCACTCCATCCCTTTGAACTGACTCTGTTCCTTCTTGTGGCCAAAGCTGGTGATTGCAGCGTCCCTGTTCACCCTCATACTGAGGTTCCTGGTTGATTCAACCTTACAACTTCCTTGTTAAGAACTAACAGTTTTCATCACAAGCTCTTTCTGCAACCCAGCAATTAAATAGTAATATCCCAATATAAAAGGAAAACCCACGCATTTCATCAGAGAGGTAAGAATGAGAGGGTCTGGGTGGCACATCATTCCATTCACTGACTAAGCAACGGGTACAGTCTGACTTGTGTCATAAGCCTCCAAGAAAGCCCTGGGAAAAAAAGTCAGGAAGAGGATGCAGGAATGGGAATGCCATGGCTCGGGCAGAACAAGAGACAGTGCCAAAGCTGCTGGAAGAGAAATGTTCTGGTCCATGGTCCATTAGACCTTGACTCATCCCAAGAGAGGCAGCTCCTGCTGTGTGTCTTCAGCAGTTGACAGTGATGCTCCGTGCATTCTGACCGATAAGAGATGTTAGGAAAGACCAGGATCTCATGCTGATCTCATTCTGACTGACGAGAGATGTTGGGAAAGACCAGGATGGATGAGACTCCTTCTAAGACTTTGACCTTGGGAGAAGTGTGGATCATCTGGCCAGGAATACATGTCAAATGGAAGTTAGCAAAGGGTTTGTAGACATCAGAGAGCACTTGGCAGGACCTGTTCTCTCTAACAGGGAGAAAACCCCCAAACTCCTTGTGGGATATGGCCTGATAGGGTTATGAGAGGAATCACCTGGTTGGATTGTTGCAGCAAAGCAAGGATCTGGAGTCAGTGACTCACAGCATCATGTCCCCAGTGGCTCCCGGTACCTCACCCAGTCCAGACAAGAGCCTCCATCGTCTCCATCTCCCCCATGTCCTGCCCGGCCCAGCCTGCAGGATGTGACACATCACGGAACCAGGTGCTTTGCAACATTAGTGGTGGAGATTTCTCCTGCAGCACGATCTGGATAAGGAAAAGAAGTAAAACTGGGTGCAGGGTGCACCCTCCTGGGACGAACGTGTTATAGGTGGACACATGGGGGCTGACACCATGCTCGGTAAACCCTCCTTGCCAACCTCTTTCTCATATATGTGCAAAGGCCGATGCCAGCCCGCATTGCAGAGCACACAGTCACCATCCCAAGCATGGCTTGCCGGGATGGCCCAGGCTGCGTGGTGCATTGCAATGGCTCAGATACCCCAGTGCATGCAACGTCTCTTGTGCAAGCCTTGGGGACCTCTGTGGAAAGAAAGGTGCCAGCAGAACTACTGCAATAAAGGACAGGGGGTAGAAAAGCATCCAAATCCACCTTCAAATCCCTTCTGGAGCAACCTGGGTTGTGGAATATTGGGTTGGAGGAGACCTCAGGGGGGCAGCTCCTGTTTCCCACACCCCAGAGCAGGATTTGTTCTGCTTAATCTAATTTTACACACAGTTGTCTAATCTCTAATGAGAGGGAATTCACACGAGCAATCCCTGTCCAAAACAGAAGAAAGATCTTCCTTGTGTTTAAATCACCTCCCAGGGAAGTGGAGGTTTGAACTTGTACCACAAACCCTATAAGGTCTTGGGTTCTTTCTGTGCTTCATTCATCTCCTTCATAAATAGAAAACCAGTAACTGACATATGGAAGAATCATGACCATGTATACGCCACCCAGGAACTATAATCCCAATTAGGGAACAAACCATCTCTGAGACCTGGGACAACTGCAAAGGCAATTCCTTCCATAAAACCAACAAATGACCCAAATTAAAACCCTGCCTTTCACTCTGAATAGGATCAAGGGTCACAGGGAAGCCTTCCCCTAAGATTAGGAGCTTTGCAGAGGATATGTGAGGCTCAGAGACCACCTGTAGCATCAACACAGTCCTGCCTTATACATGCATCCAGGTCGCCGACATGCGTGAGCATCCTCCCATCTGGGCTCACGCTCTATCGCCAAGAGACATTATAAACATGTTTGTCACCATCCACGTGCACTGGGGTGTGAGCAGTGGATCGTGAATAATAGTTTCACAAGAAAACTCCTTCTTCTGACACTGGTGAAATAGCCCCAGACACATTCTGATTTCCTCATGCATCCATTCCCTCAACTGACTCAGTAATGAATCTCTTCATTTTAAGTCAATCAATCAGTGCCATTATTAGTATGACAGTGGCCTCTAGAGTCCTGCTGAAATCAGGCCTGGTGCACTCTGTAGGCAAAAAGGCTTTTCCCCAAGGCAGAGCTTAAATCAATAGAGACGCAGATCCTGGTGCCCTCCCCAAATGCAGGTGTGGGAACAGAGGGAGGAAAGAGCTCAGAAAGTCCCAGCACTTCCCTCCCTATCTTTATCTCCAATCAAAGCGTAATAAAGGTAACCAATAGTAGATATTTGGAAGACGTATCCTGCGACTGGGACACTGCTGGAAACTTTCTGTCCTTCCCAGCTTCCTGCCTGAATGATCTCTGCCTCTGACAGGGTTTTCAGTTCCTTCTCTTTGGGTTAAAAGTCTTTCTTTGAGCAAAGAAAGGACTAACTTGAAACATTGCGACACTCCAAAGCTCCTTTTAGTGCTTCTGTGCTGTTTGCTCAGAAATAGGTTTCTCTTTGATGCTTTGATACTCCCAAGCCATGTCCCACCTCCTGAGTTTTCCCCCTCCCATTTCAACTGGATGAATCCAGCAGGAGATTGCTTCAAAGTCTCTCATCGTCGTCTCCCACCTCTGAACCCCAAACTTCGGGACAGCTTTAAGAGCCCAGAGGTTGCCCAGCTCCTTTTGTAACCCACCAGGGCTGAGCCCCATCACCCCAGTGGAGATGCATTGCCAGTGTTGGCCCCTGGGGCTCAGCGGAGGATGCTCACACTCCTTCACACCCCTTGTTTTCAGGGCATCCCCCACATGGACCAGCCCCAGGCTCTGTGCTCGTGTTCTGCCACCCCATCACGTGCTCATACCTGCATCCTTAATTCCCTTTGTCTCCTTCGCCTACTCACAACCTAGATCTTTTCTTCCCAACCTGTCCAAATGCACTTATTTTACCTACACACCGCCACGGCCTTGTTTGCTCTTATTTGTTCAAGCCCTTTGCATTTCCTGGACCCCTCTGCAAGCCAACCCACCGCTCTCCCCACCAACTCCACCTTCCCATCCACTAACATCTTCACAGTGCCGACTCGGGGCTCAGGGCTCTGCTTCACATTAGGCACAAGAAGGAAGCAAATGCTTTAGTCAAAGGCAGCAGGACCATCCAGAAACCTCCCCATCCAGGTGTGGTGGGCAATTAACATTTTTATGGAGTAAGGAGAGGAATGGCAGGATATTGATCCGCTTGCAATACCGTGAGTCAAAGAATCAAGTCCCTCCAGTGGGGCCTCATCTTGTTTCCGGAGGGAGAACATCGGGTGCCCTATAAAAGCTCTCGCAGCCCATTTCTCCTCATAGCCTCAGCTTCACATCTCCTCTCCAATTGTTGCTGAACGGGGTAAGTACAGCTTGAGCAAACTTTTGCACTCTTCATGATCACCAGCTTTGCCCTGATCACTTCTGTTACACATCTTATCTCTAGTCACAGTTGCTCAGTCCTTCTGCCTAGGTTGCCTTCTCCATCCACATTTATGTCTTATAATCAGAATTTATTCTGGATATATAATCCCATCTAACTAGCCATCTATTGCTGCCAGCTGGCAGACATCACAACATCTCCTGCCTTGCACCCATTCAAAGTTCATGGTCTTCCCAGCAGCTCTGAAGATGTGCTCCCGCCAGGACAAAGACCAGTGCCACCAGCAAGAACAATCCTCATGCCACAGCAGTGAGGGATGTCACAGGAGCAGTGGAGGATCAGGATGCCATGCGAGCAGCGGTGGGTCTGGTTGCCACGGAAGCAGTGGATCCAGATGCCATGGGAGCAGTGGATCTGGATGCCGCAGGAGCAGTGGATCCGGGTGCCACAGGAGCAGTGGTGGATCCAGTTGCCATGGGAGCAGTGGATCTGGATGCCACAGGAGCAGTGGTGGATCCGGATGCCACAGGAGCAGTGCGGGATCCTGCCATGGAAAGCCACAGGATTGCCAGCAGCAGATTTATCAAGTATCCTCGAAGATGAAGTGATAAGGACGATGTGTATGCGTTATACACATGCATATCCTTGATCTTGTGCTGAGTTCAGAAAGTTTTGCATGTCCCCTAGCCACCTCCAAAGAAAGTTTCTCCTCTCTCTCCCTTGGCGAGTTCTGTACCTTTGATGAGCTTATCTGAAACAGACTGTGTATGTCCCTCTGTATCATTCTATATAGATACCATTACAACCTGGAGTTCATGAGAATTTTGTGTCCATGGTTTTTCTTTCACCTTGTATTTCATATCACAAAACAAGACACTTTTTCTTGCCTAATAGCCCTGAAGTAACCCAGCCCAGATACAGGCAATAGGAGTGGGCACTGACACATTCTCCCCTATGGAATTCAAAGGAAAAGTGAGAGAATAGAGAATGCTGAGGACACCTCAGGCATCTGCACTGCCTCCACAGCACCTTCCCATGGAGGCCCAAAACCCTCCATCAACACCCCACAGGCTACATTGCACAAGCTTGGGGCCATCTATGGCCGCAACCATGGAGCAGAAAGAGTCCTATAGGCAAAGGCAGAGAAACCCCTTTCTTTGCCATTTAGCCCCAAGACACCATCTTTAGGCAGGTATCTCCACATGCTTGAGACAACCCCCCCATCAAGCCTTTCTAGAAACCCTCTGCCCAGCACTTCAAGAGCTGTAGGCTGAGCCAAGGGTGTTGCAAGATGTTAACGTTACACAATGAGCTGATAAATTTCTTCTGGGCTTGTAATTAGAACCAATTGTGTAATTATTGGTCCGGGATTGCCGTTCATGAAATGGATGTTGCCCTCATAAGATAACTCTCAAGTGTGTCACAATGATCAGAGAGATGTGGCATTGCTGAAAATGGTGCAGGCACCAGCTAACCCCCTGAGCAGCCTGCCTGCTTTTGGTGTAGAACTGAAACAGGGGGAGTTCAGGTTGGATATAAGGAAGTTCTTCCCTGTGAGGATGGTGGGGAACTGGAATGGGTTGAACAGAGAAGCTGTGGTTGCCCCATCCCTGGCAGTGCTCAAGGCCAGGTTGGAGCAAGCTGCTCTAGTGGAAGGTGTCCCTGCTCATGGCAGGAGTTGGAGCTGGATGAGGTTTAAGCCCCCTCCAACCCAAACCACTCTATGGTGTAAAAACCATTTGGAAAGGGTGGTTGTGTGTGTGTGGCATCTGCCTTAAGCCCCCATTGCAAAACCCATTTTCAAGGCCTTTAAGGTAGACAGCCACAAATCTAGAGGTGCCCAGGACTGCTGCCTGAGTGCTGCTGGTCTTTAGTGACCACTTCAGCAAGCTCAGAGTAATTCAAACATGAGGAACTGAATACCGTTGGCGATGTTGAGAGCCAACAATTACTTCGAGTCTAATTTCATGAAGAGGATTGAGCACATTTCATCTGATGCTGGAACAAAACACAGTTAAATAGAAGAGATCACACCTGGGTACGGTTTGCCCTGACACTGCACTGGTTCCTGACAGCAGTTTAGCAACACAAAAGAAGCCTTTTTGTTGCTTACCTGACTAATTAACCCTGCTCTGTCCACCTGCCTTGCCAAAAATCCCTGTGCTTTGGTAACAGCAGATGTGTCAGATGGTTAATCATAGAATCAGAGAATCAGAGAATGGTTTGGGTTGCAAAGGAGCTTAAAATCATCCAGTTCCAACCTCCTGCTATGGGCAGGGGCACTTCACACTAGACAATGTCACCTAAAGCTCTGTCCAACCTGTCCTTGAACGTTGCCAGGGATGGATCATTCACACCTTCCTTGGGCAACCCATTCCAGTGCCTCAGCACTCTCACAGTAAACAATTTCTTCCTTATATCTAACCTGAACTTCCTCTGTTTCAGTTTGAACCCATCACCCCTTGTCCCATCACTCCAGTCCCTAATGAAAAGCCCCTCTCCAGCATCCTTGTAGCCCCCTTCAGACACTGGAAGCTGCTCTGAGGTCTCCACGCAGCTTCTCCAGGCTGAACAGCCCCAATGTTCTCAGCCTGTCTCCATACAGGAAGTGCTCCAGCCCCTGATCATCCCTGTGGCCTCCTCTGGATTTGTTCCAACAGATCCATGTCCTTATGCTGAGGATACCAGAACCGCACGCAGTGCTCCGAGCGTCCATACATCCCTCCAAATACCTCTCAGAACTGTTGGCCAATTGCAAGCTAATTGTGGAAAGGGGAAAAGTGCTCCAAAATGAGCGTTCCTACAAGTCTGGGGGAAGTCCTTGGGGTCTACCAGCTCCCCACAACATAGCAGACACCCAAGGCCACCATGTGTCACCAAGGGCAGCACCCATGGGAGCCCTGGCAGCACTGAAACCACTCACAACTTGGAAAGAACCCACCAGTGCTGCTACTGCAGCATTACTCATGGGCTGAAAGTTCACCACATAATTATGTACCCTGCTAATCCTGGATCTCTACCTAGGACCAGTCTTCCCCCTTCCAAAAATAAGAATCCCAACTACATTTGGGCCTTTTGCAACAGCAGGAAAGGTTTGACCAACAGATTCATAGGAGCTGGCTGCAATCTCTCTTCACCATGGCAGGGGTGTTGCAACTAGATGATCTTAAGATGGTCTCAAGGTCCTTCCCAACCCTAACTATTCTATGATTCTATATTTCAGCTGCTCTTAAGAGAAATGAGCCAGTAGTGGTCGCAGTCAAATTGCTGTTAAGGAAGAGCTCTCTACCATGGCAAAGGTGCTATTGGTACTTGGAATCATAGAATCATTGAATCAATCAGGTTGGAAAAGACCTTTATGCTCATCAAGTCCAACTCTTCCCCAGCACTGCCGAGGCCACCACTAACCCATGTTACAAAGGGCCTCGTCTCCACAGTGTGTGAACACCTGTAGGGATGGTGACTGCACTACTGCCCTGGGCAGCCTGTTCCAATGCCTGAGCATCATTTAGGTGGATAAACTCTTTCCCGTATCCAACCTAAACCTCTCCCAGTGCAGCTTGAAGCCATTTCTTAGTGTCCCATCCCTTGTTCCTTGGGAGCAGAGGCCAGCCCCCTCCTGGCTCCATTCTCCTGTCAGGCAGTTGTAGGGAGGAATAAGGTCCCCATGAGCCTTCTCCATCTGAATCTCCCAGGTCCTTCAGCCGTTCCCCATCACACTTGTGCTCCAGGCCCTGCACCAACTCCATTGCCCTTCTCTGGTCCCGCTCCAGCATCTACTTGTAGGTACATCTCTGGCTTTATGTGCATTGGCAGGACTGGAACACTTCAAAGCGTTGCAAAAGGATGGTGTGATTTAGGTGCACAACCTCATCTCCCCCCCCTTAACACAAAGCACTCCCAAACACCAAACCAAACCAGCACAGATGTGGAGACCAGGGCCACCCACATCACTCCCCCATTGTAACTAAGCACAGGTTGAGCTGGCAATTAAGTGTTTCTGCGGCACAGGAATGACGACCTATGAGGAGGCAATACCCAACACGGATGGGGTGAGTCACACCAGCAACCTGCAGAGTGGGGAGGCCAAAAAAAAGCCACCAACAAATCAAATGAACCATCATATCTCTGTGACAGGGAGGTGCTTCCTTTCCAGGTGGGGTGCACAGAGAGGGTATAAAAGCGATCCCATCCCGGGAAGCTTCATTCCCTCCTTGCTCCTTTGCTGCACGAGCATCTCAGGTAAGAGCAGCGATGCTGCGGGGCTCTGGGGCTGGATGCAACATGAGAGGCCGATGGGTTTGTGCACCTTGGACTAGGCTGGGGCTTGCTCTGTGAGTAGGGATGTGGGGCGCAGAGTGTGCTGAATGAGAACAGAGTGATATGGGCTTGGAGGGAGACTCTGGGGCGTTGTTCTTCTCTCTCTGGGAGCAATATGGGTCCAATCTGGAAAGCCATGGTTGCCTTGCTCAGTTGCTCCGGGTGCTCCAAGTGTCTTTGGCTATGGCTTTGGTGGGACAATCCCACGGGTGGTGAGAAGCTGGCACAAGGCTTAGAGGTGACTGTGGGGATCTGGGTAAGACCGGATAAAGGTACCTCCAGATTCCCCTGCTCTGGGAGAGCAGCAGCAGGGCAGGAAAGCCCCTGACAGCTCCTTTTTCCCTGCAGGTCACCTGAAAACACAGCCATGTGCTCCCGCCAGGACAGGGACAAGTGCCATGATCAGGAGCGCTACAGCAGCAGTGGTGGATGCCACAGCTCCGGTGGTGGATGCCACAGCTCCGGTGGAGGATGCCACAGCTCCGGTGGCAGGGGTGGCTGTCACAGCTCTGGTGGCAGCGGTGGCTGTCACAGCTCTGGTGGTGGTGGCTGCCATAGCTCCAGTGGTGGTGGCTGCCATAGCTCCGGCGGTGGCTGTCACAGCTCCAGTGGCAGTGGTGGATGCCATAGCTCCGGTGGCTCCAGCTGCCATGGGATCCCACAGATCCACTACCAGCAGCAGCAGCAGCAGCAGATCCACCAGCTGCCCTCGCACAAGATGAAGTGATGGAGCATCCAATGGCTCCAGCAGCAAAGGCCACGCATGGACCAGCTCCCTCTGGTCTCCCCAGAGCTTTGGGGCTGCCCGGCTTCAAACCCTCTTCTCTGCCTCCAGCTCCCTGGGGAAGGGGCATCACCTGTGGTCCCTGCTGCCTCTGCCTGATGCACCAAGCTGTGCTTTGGCCCCATGAGGTGCCCATGAGACAATAAAGCATTGAACTAGCAAGACTTCCCTTGTGTTGGTGTTTCCTTAAACTCCTCATCCTAATGCTCACGTTACAGGGGCACAACTGGGTGTAGGGGAACGTAGGACCTCTACAAGTTACTTGCCGTTCATATATCTTAACCAGGGGAAAAGAAAGCACCCAGCCCTTCAGCACGTGTGCACAAGGAAACCAAGTGACATTGCTGCATAAATCCATGTAGTTTAACTCAGTGAATTCTTTACTTCGTGTGTTTCCTGGAGCTCATCATGCTGAACTCAGCATCTATGTGCCTCCATGGGCCGGAATAAGGGATGCAAAGAGTCAAGGGAAGAGCTGACAGAGAAAGAAGCCAAATCCATCCC